GGTGGGGGGAGATAGTACAAGCCAATGTGAGTCGATTCTACTATAGGAACTACTCTCCGAAAATTAGCCGTTTTCGAATTATAATATTTTTTAAGATTTTATAAAACTAACGTCCTTTATACGTTAACCAAGTCATAAAACTTGAAAATTGGGTGTTGCATTTGATTTGTTTTTTTGTTAAGAAAAATCTTCGTTCATATTAAAAACTCAATTTACTAGAAACAATCACCTACAAATTTTTCCTGCAAAACAATTTTAAAATATCTAGGTTTCATTACCTTCCAAATGACGTACCAAAGTCACAAACCGGTTTAGAAATGACAAAGATATGAGTGAAAGAAACAGGTAGAGCCGTGATTCTTTTCCTGATGACCTAGACTGTACCCTGTTTTCTGTGATTCCTTACGACTTGGCTGCTGTGTGACTTGATTGTTCGTTGATATACCTATCGATGAACAATGGCTTATGAACAAAGGATGCGGCCGTTTAGTTTCGAAGAATATGCTGATATCCTTTTCTACTATGGAGATGCCAGAGGCAATGCTGAAGAAGCTCGTCGTGAGTATGATGAAATGTTTCCTAACCGTCGCCTACCTGACGCCTGTGTTTTAGGCAAACGTTCCGTCGGGTTCGAGAGCGCGGTACCGTCGTAAGATATCAAGGTAAGTTTGCATCATTGATAATTATTAACTTATCATAATCAGTCATTCAGTAAGGCCTATGTAGAGCCTTGGAGGTCTGTGGGCTGAACTGATGATACTGTAACACAGTTGTTTTGATACAGTTGATTGAACTTCTTGATTAAGAGTTTATACATTTAATTTTAACATGAGCATCTACACGGCTCTGAAGATGGAAACATCCACACGTTTTTTCTAAATAATATTTTGCTAACTCTAGCTCATAGTCTTACCGCTGTTTATTAGGTAACAATTTCCTCCAAAAAACTGTTGTTATTTGTTTTTTCATTTTATTTCAGGTGATGCAGGTAGACCTCGACATGATGTGGAAGAAGAAGAAGAAGAAATACATATTAAAAATTTTCCAAAGAGACCCTACTCTCTCTACTCGCGCTGTGGCTCGACGGCTTGGATTATCCCAATGTCAAGTGTGGTATGTTTTGCATGAAAACATATTCCACCCTTATAACTACACACCTGTGCACGTCATAGAGGAAGGAGATCCCATGAGGCGCATGCAATTTTGTCGTTTTATTTTAAACGCTGATGTTGAAGATAGCAATTATTTAAAAAAAATTCTATGGACCGACGAATCCAAATTTGATAAAGGCGGCATAACAAACTACCATAACGCACACTATTGGCGTGAACGTGCAGTGGGAAATCCTCATATGAAGAGACCAAAAGGATCTCAAAGGCAATTTTGTCTGAATGTCTGGATGGGCATTATCAATAACTGTTTGGTAGAACCACATCTCCTACCCGACAACTTGAATAGAGAAGCTTATGAAAATTTCTTAAGAAATGTTCTATTTGAATTACTTGAAGACGTGCCGCTACACACAAAACACAGAATGATTTTTCAGCATGACGAGTACCCAGCACATTTCAGACTAAGTGTTAGAAATTGATTAAATGAGCAGTTTCCGAATCGATGGATCGATAGAGGCGGACCAATCCCATGGCCAGCACGCAGTCCCGATCTCACACCTATCGACTTTTTTGTGTGGGGTCGCATGAAAACTTTAGTATACTCTGATCAAAATCCTGAACCCACAATAGAAGACCTCAGAAACAGGATAATACATGTACATGCAGCACAAGGAATTCAAGCCTCTCTTAGGAATTCGGCGGCAGTAAAATAGATGTCATAAGAAGAGCACGTGTGTGCATTAGAAATAGAGGGCGCTATATTGAAAATGTATTATAAAAATAAAAAAATGTAGTTTCAATCAAATTATCCTGTATTAAGGTATGATTTTGTAAGTGTAATATTTTTATTGCTGTTTCCTTCCTCCTCTTATAATAGTCATATTTTTGCCAATTCTTAATCGATTTGTGATTTTTATACCTCATTTGAAAGTTAATGAAACGTAGATGTTTTCTAATTATTTTGTACGAAAAATTTGTAGGCGACTTTTTCTAGTAAACTGAAGCTTTTGCGATGAACGATGATTTTTTTAACAAAAATCGAACTATTTTGAGGATTTCGTCAATAATGTACATTTGAGTACCAATTTTCGTATTTTAGAATATTTTTATTCTAAAACCAAATAAAAACAAATGAAATACCCAATTTTTAAGTTTTATGACTTGGTTAAAGTATAAAGGACGTTAATTTTATAAGATTATAAAAATTAGTATAATTGGAGTGAGTGAGGTATAGTACAGTAAATGGTGAAATAAGAAGTAGTCAGACATAAATAGTGGTGCATATAAATGTGTTATCAAGTCAAATAAATTAGTGCATTTCTTTTTGTGTAATCCAGTGTTTTAATCCACAGCCAAAAGAACCCAGAAAAACGCTACAATATTATATTCTTTCACATATAACAGGTGACAACAGGAAATTGTAAAGCAGTTTACCGTTAAAGGTGAACATAAAATGCGAAAACTCTGACAAATTTCTGTATATTTATTAAAATTGATGTAAAGAACAACATATCAAAATTATATTTCAATTTTAAATATAAATTGTCCTTGTGACTATTTAATATAATTTGTCAGGATGAGATCAGTATTAGAAGTCCAGATAATTGTTTTACGACTTCTTTTTCAAATTGTATGTTATCTTACCATGAGATTTCGTAACTCTATTAGATATCGATTTGTGTACATGAGACAAAACAAATAAAGTAATAGAATAGAGTAACATTTTTTACTTTGTTTCTGTCAAGCTTATAATATATGCACTGTGTACTTACCACCATTTCTGATATAGAGGGTTGTGAAAAACCCTAAATATCCTGTTGGTACCGAATGGATTCGGAATTTTTGTTGAGGTTTTTCCTACTAGATCGTAGTTTTTTGTTTAAATCGGTAGTTTTTCGCATTTTCTTCGTGAAGCTTACTAACTTCTTCATGTTTCGAATTTATCTTGAAAAAGAAAAGGAAATTGCATTTTTGATCACCAGTTCTTTTAACTTTTTTTTATTGCAAGTGATCACGTATCTATATTCCTAAGAAACCATAATACTAGCAAAATACATTTTAGTGATTTATTTTGTGTGTAATACAACAGCAGATATTTGAAACATTTCGGTATTCCTAAAAATGAGTATTAAATTTGTACTGAAAATTTTGAAAGCACTTTTATGCGTGTATTTGGAAGGTGAATGTCAGTTTATTTTGAAAAATAATGCTTCTAAATAAATAAATAATCAGTGATTTATTACAGATGTTATTATAAACATTTAGAACCAGGCATTGTTGCTATTCCTCGCCTCTCATTCATATCAAAAATAAATCTACAAATCTTAAAGAGAATCTCCGCGATGAGCTATGAATTATTGCTAAACAACACACTACAATCTTACATTTAGTATCTGCGATGTAGCTGAATAACGCTTTCTTTCACAACTTTTCACTGAACTGCTTTGTGATTCAATTTATTCACCAACCTTTTGTTATGCTACGAAAATTTCGCCGCGGTTTTGTTTTCCCTAAATACGATGTTACTTTTCCGTTTCCCCTGTTTATGCAGTTTCTTCCCATATTCGCTTTTATTGAGCGATAAGGAGGGTGAAAACAATGTTGCCAAACCTTGGGGGTTGATTTTCGCGGGATTTGCGCACGTCGGCGCAAAATACACGTTAAACGTGATTGAACTTAAAATGAATTTTTCAATCCTATTTTAATGTCTTCATTGGGCAATCATATAAGAGTACTTATTGATCTCACTTTGTATGAGTAATGCTTTGATGGTGAGTAGATTGAAACTTAATAGTCTACATATCGTCACTACAGAATAGTAGAAGACAACTTAAAAGTTTCAATTTTGGGATTTGTTGCAATTTTTAACGCTCTATCTAGTCGTATACTAGGATATGTTTAATTCCTCTTCCTTACTATTCTATGCGATCTAATCCTTGTATAAGGATATAGAATTTTATTCTGAAGTTCTGCGTAATAGTAAGACATATTTAAATCTCTTTATATTAACTTTTGCCAAGTGTTATCATTTCATAGAACTACACTAAGATATTTTAAAATATCTTTATACTGAACAAAAATTTAAATGCAAATATTTCAATTTGTCTTGATTTCTAGGTTATCTTCTTTAATCAGTCTAAAAAATAATTGTTAGGTTGTGGAACTATACTAAGAGATTTTAAAATATCCTTGTATTCTCCTGGAAAGTAATAAAATACGTTTAAAGTTGTTTTCACTTTTCACCTTATCTCAGTATATACCCTATTTTCAGAGTATCCATCACTGTAGAATGACAGCTGATTGTCTAGTAATATCTCAAAATTCCCCATATCGGCACATGACACATAATTCTGACGGATCCGTCAACGTCAGGTAGTCAGAGCCGTATTCTATTTTCTTTTTTTTGTACGCTACAGATTGATTTTGCACTGGCTAACAGCTATTTTATTTAGAAAAGTTCATTTGCATACAAAAAACAATACGCTACAAACAAGTATTATTAGATTTACACCCGATTCATTATTGCCAACGTTGCAGACTAACACAAAAATGTCACCTGCCAATCAACTGTTCATCTCAGTAGACGTCAAAGCGTGATAGATACTCGTGAAATAGAGTATCCAGACATTTTTACAGAAATATTAAAGCCTATAAGAAAGAACGTCGATGACGAATAAAATAATTTAAATTTGGATTTTGTTCCTTTTTTGATGTTTATTTTGTATATTTAGAACTAACCCTAATTACGTCTAAACGAGTTTATGCGAGTTAATAAAGTTTTATTGCTAATAAAATTTGTCTTCACGAATTTCTTGTTTTGTTGAAATTTTTACAGTTACGAGGGATGTCTTTTAAGTTTCGCATATGGAAATAAAACAACACGGTAGGTAGTTTTAAATGACTTTATTGTTTTTCGAAGTACATGTATTCTCCACGAACATTAATACACATCTGCATGCGCTCGAACCAATTTTCGAAGCACTTATTCCACTCGTTTGTTGTCAGATCCAAAACGACATTTTTGAATGCGTCAACTGCTTCTTCTGGTGACTGCAACCTTTGACCACGCAGTCTGTTTTTAATTTTCGGGAAAGTAAAGAAATCGTTAGGACTTAGATCGGGACTATATGGAGGATGGTCCAATAATTCCACGTTTTCTTCCGTTAAATACTGCCTTGTTTTTTGGGCTGTGTGCGAGCTTGCATTGTCTTGGTGGAGGATGATTCTTCTTTCGGGCTTGATTTTTCGAAGCTCGGTGATGACTTTTGGCAAACAAATGGTGGTATACCAATCCGCAGTAACAGCTCATTAAGAGGAATTGTTGCAATATGACCCGCTTTTGACACAAATGTCACAACCATCTTTTTCGAAACACAGCATCGACGTTTTCCTGGGTGACTGCCGTTTTTGGTGCACCCACCCTGGGATCGTCGCTATTCAAATCAAATTTATTTAAAATTTTATATTCGAATATTTTTTTTTCAAAATAAAAATACACCCTTCCACGTCTGAATTCTCCATACCAACGGGAAATTGTCGACCGATGTGGCGCTTCGTTGCCGAAAACGAATAAATTATGGCGCGAAAATGTTCTCGGTTGAGTTCCATTTTTCTAATGACTTGGTGACACTTAAAAATTCACTGTAGTGAGAACACTGCACGTATTGTTGTGAAACTTTGAATTTAAGTTTACTAAAGAGTGAGGTTAAGATTCAGTACTGACGTTCGATCCGCGCGCCCTACTATGTTTCTATATGCGAAACCTAAAAGACATCGTACTAAACAAACAGCTACATTTTATAGTAATTATTATTGTAGAATAGTAACATTTCAATTTTCTAATTTTTTATAGAATATTTAGTAAAATAGTGAGAAAACTTACAGCAAAAAAGATATTATGAAAAATATTAACATAATTTCCGTGTAATACCATTTTCAATAAAAAAGGAAGATATTTAAATTTGTTTAAGGCGTTTCAGTATTATACTAAGCAACTATTCTATAGAAAAAAATAACGCTTAGCTTAAAATCAATGGTATTGTAACAGACTCATAGTTATCTAATAGTCTATAACATGCACTACTTCTTATACATATAGTTTATTATAATAATAAAAAAATACAGCTTAATGAATATTAAAAAAGCGATTATCCCAATATGGTATAATTGAAGTTGTCTTACTATCATTCTGGAGCGACGATACGTACGAGTATAAGGTAAAAAGGTTTGTTCGTATGACAGGTTTCAACTTCTCTCACGAATTTGTGTTCACGACTTACGTGGTTTCTATTCCACTCAATTTCCCAAAAAAAGGATCTAAGACCTACCCTTACAACTACAGACCTATAGCTCTGTTTTCTGTTAAAAGTATGGTCATGGAGAGGTGCATAAATCGCGATCTTCTGGACTACCTGGAACGTCACGGGTTGATTAGCGACAGGCAGTACGGTTTCCTGCACCAGCGAACCACAGGGTACCTCCTAGCAAACGTCACGCAATTGAGGAGTAAACTCATCCCCTCCTCTGAGGGTGTTGATGTAATAGAAATTAAATACTGGAGAGCCAGTACAATTAATCCAACCCACAGGTATGTTGATGAGAGCACTCTAGATGCATCAAACCAAACCGGTTTGCTTCTACCGTATGTCAGCAAGCTTTGCTCCACAGAGCCCTCCTCCATGATATCGCCGCACGATAAGCCTGACGTCGGCCTACCATCGTAACAGTGTCGATCTCCGTCGGTACGACCGCTCCTTTGTCCTTATGGTACCCATTCACGTACAGGCGGACTGCAGGCAATGGACTGAAATTTGACCTGCAGTCGTGGCCTGCGATATAGACCATACACGTTCAGTTGTATACAAACGATGCGGCCTGCAGGCCATCGCCTGACAGTCCTAGAACTGCAGGTCGCCTCATTATTTGCCATACATCCACAGTCCGTCGCAAAAGTTTCGCAGTTCTTGCTTGTAGTGTGTAGACAAAAGAACAATAAAGCAGTGGTAAAATGTTAAGAAAAAAGAAACTTATTTTGTTACTTTTGATTTTGCTATTAACTAATGAACGCGGAAAAAATGGCAAACGTTTTTGGGTGAAGGAATGGTTAAGAGATCGTGAAAATTTATCTCATATGAAACTCCTGAAGCGATTGAAAGATTCCAGCAGCGAAGATTTTAAAAATTATCTTAGGATGGACGAGGCTTCTTTCAGAAAATTATTAACTTTAGTTAAACCCCACATAAAACGACAGAATACAGTAATGAGAAAAGCCATTAGTGCTGAAGAAAGGTTAATAGTGACTTTGCGGTATCTGGCAACTGGACGTACATTTGAGGATTTGAAATTTTCTGCCATTATTTCTCCCCAAGCACTAGGAAAAATTATACCAGAAACCTGCGAATGGATTTACAAGGCGTTGAAAAAGGAATATATGAAGGTAAGTTCATAAAATTTTGGAATACAGTGCATAATATTTTAGAAAGAAATGGAATAGTTGAAGGAGATTGAAAGCCAAAATTTTTAGAAGCGTACATTTATAAAAGTACCTAGGTATTTATTTTTTAACCTAAATACCTCGCTAATATTCTTATTAAAAATTATGTATTTTATGCTTGCATTCCAAAATTTTCGCTTTTGTCGTAATTTGAAGTAATTTTTTATGTTTTAGTAAAATTTCAAAATAATATTTCAACTACGTATTTTATTGAAAAATGTATCCTTACATAAAAACTTAAAGGTGAACAACTTGTGTTATAGAAACGAATTTTAAATAAACTTTTGATTTCTATTGTCAAAAACATAGACAATAGGTAATAATGAACAAGTCGACAAGTAAAAACAAAACTTTAAGTATGTAGTCATTGAAGTTTCGTAAATTCATCGATTAAAAACCAGCAATTCAGTTAAAGATCCTTTAAGTTTCGACGTGTTGCCGCTTTCCTCCATTGTTTCAGGGGTAGTTTTATCAAGAGGTCTTATATAGTTTATATTTATGTCGAGGTTTTCTCCTTCTGCATTTGTGTACTGTGTTTCAGAAATAGTTGCTGAGGGTCGGGAAAGAGTGACATTTTGTTGCTGATTGTAAGTTGATGTGTGTTGCGAAGAAGTGAAAGTTTGTTGTTGCTGATTTGTTAATATGGGTTGGAAAGGAGAAGGAGTTAAAGGTTGTGGCTGTTGATTGTATTGAAGTTGCATTGGCAACATAGTATTATAATGAGATGAAACGCTATGTGCCGAATTTATACATATATGAGATTCCTCGCATAATTTCTTTTGAACACCAAGGAAGAGAAGACGGTGAAGTAATAATTCAGCATACATTTTCTGGTCGCTGTCCATTCGGCGCAGTTTATGGGCCACATTTTCTCCAATACTGTCACATTCATCATTTTCTCTGTCCAACTTAGCGCAAATCCTTTGGATACTTTCTTCCTGTCCATACTTCTTTCTTTTTGCACTATTAGAAGATCTGGAAGTTGATGGACGTGAATAGGTTGATGACTGATGCGGTGTTTGTGGTGGTGATAGCTGATATATTTCAGACGGTGCTTGCAACGCATCTTCAGTAAGCGGTGAAAATTGAGTATCATGCTGGGTGACATCTTCCTGAAAGTACAAAATACAAAATGTATATTATAATTTTTTTTACAGTTTCCAAAAACATCAGAGGAGTGGCAAGAAATAGCTTATAATATTGAAACCAGATGGAACTTTCCTAATTGTGGAGGATCTATTGATGGTAAACATCTGCGAATTGTTAAACCAGCCAACAGCGGGTCATATTTTTTTAACTACAAAGACTATCACAGTATAGTTCTCATGGCCCTTGTTAATGCTGATTACGAATTCATATATGTTAATGTAGGCTGTAATGGGCGAGTTTCTGATGGAGGGGTCTTAGAATATACAAAATTTTACGATAAACTTATAGAAAAAAAGCTAAATTTGCCTTCTAATGACGTAACAAAGCATAATTTAAATTTCGTTTTTGTGGCAGATGATGCGTTTGCATTACATGAAAATATTTTAAAACCTTTCCCGGGAAACAATTTAACAAAAGAAGAATCTATTTTCAATTATAGACTTAGCCGTGTGCGCCGCACGGTTGAGAACGCGTTCGGTATATTAGCTAATCGCTTTCGAGTATTCCATACTCCAATTAATATGCAACCTGACAAAATTGACAAAATTGTACTAGCAGCTTGCGCGTTGCATAATTTTTTGAGACGTTCTAAAACTTCATATATAACGAGAAATGATGTTGACACCGAAATTATTGACACAGGGGATATAATAAGGGGAGACTGGAGAGCAGAAAGACCATTAGATAATTTACAACCAGGATATGGTCGTAATGCTTCACGTGAAGCCAAAGAAAATAGAGTGAATTATAAAAATTTCTTTAATACTGTTGGAAAAGTTTCCTGGCAAGAAAATTTTATTTAATCAATGTACCTATTATAATATGTATCTTACTTGATAATTTTGTAGAATTAAAGAATTTATTTTAGACAAGAAATAAAAAGATTTTATTTGATTTTTTTATTTGCAAAAAATTTCCTTACCTCATTATTGGCATCGTCACCCTCCGACTCCGACTCATCATCATTTGAAACTGACATCCTAGGTTCTTCCTGCGAAGCCGTAAAAAGCAGTAATTTATAATACCAAAGAGTTGGCTCATACAGCTCTTCTGTAGATGATCCACTTCTTTTTGATTTTAGAACTTTTTTGTGCTCCTTTCGAAAGGCACTTCTAATATTATTAATTTTCTTTTTTACCATATCCATCGAAGCATTTTTGTCTACGGTTTTGCAATAACTTATAAGTTTCTCATACGCCTTTGCCTTTTCTTTTCGATTTGAATACTGTTTTGACTTAATATTCCATAAACTTGGTAACTGTCGATAAATATCAATAAAACCAGTAACAAACGATGGCTGATTTAACGTCACATCAGACATTTTTTACCAAAACTGTGTACACAATTTTTAAATACAATGAAAGTCGCTATCGTACGACCCGGACTGACGATTAACCACCACACACGTACACACTTTGTGCAATCTTTGTAAACTGCAGGCACAGACCTGCCGGCCACCTGTACGTGTATGCTGAAATTTGGACTGACGGCCAGATCGTTCACAGTTCGGGACTGCAGTCCGCCTGTACGTGAATGGGTACCATTAGGCTTCAAGATTGTGGAACAATCTGCCTGAGGAGGGTTTCCCCAGTTCTACTAATCTTGGGCAGTTCAGAAATCGGATTAACAACGTGTCTTTAAGGTCCTTATAGCAGCCGCGGTGCTCTGGCTTTAGGCTTCTGTGTACGCGACGGCTTCGATATAAAAAAAAATGTTCCATGTTAACTGGACTAACCCCTGAAAATATACTTCCCAAGTTAACAAAAGCTTAGGGGCGTCTGCTACTTCAATTGCGACTGGTAAACTTAAAGATGATCCAGGTGACAAAGATCCAAAGATAGCAACCACATCTGAAACCACCTAAAAGGTCTTCGATATCGTGTTGAACTGTAGGCATGTGAAGATGGGTAAGAGCTGAGGTCTCAGGGATACATGGCACACTGCTTTTGCAGAAATAATTAGACCT